TTTTTTTTGTTTGTTTGTTAAGAGCTGGTTCAATTACTGCAGGCTACCAGATTTTGCACATCAGTAGCGGATTTCTGGAGTTTTAAAAACTTTGTGATAGAGCACAAATATTTCAAAGCCTAGTCTGATGGCCATTTAATGTGTCTGTTTTATATAGTACTCATGAGGATCTAATTAACAAGTATATTTAATGTAATTATAGTATAGAGTCACCTATCTTATTAGAGAACCCATTTCTGCTCCTTAGCAAAGTCCTTAGAAGACTCATTGAATGGTTTTGTACATAGTGACCCAAACTGTGGTGTAACTAAATTATATCTGGAGCGTACTTTGGGTTTTTTTTTAATTTTGTTGTTTTTTTAGTTAGAGCTGTGTATTAAAGTCATTTCTCCTGCCCAGCCCCCAAAGTGTTTTGGTCACTGATTGTGAAAGAATCTGAATGCTGAAGACATTTCTTAAACATGAAATTTCACACTGCTGTCAAGCAGTAATTGATGATAGAGTACAAGTCAGTGATACATCGTTAACCTAGCAACTTTTCAAGACTTAATCTACTCTTTTCTGTTAATGTTTTTGTTTTGTTTTACGGCAACAGCCATCTTTGTGCAATACCCTATTTTTATTTCCAGTAAATATTTCAGAGGAATCTAAGAATTCCGTGCAATATCAAATATTATTCTATATTGTGTACTCTATTCTGTTCATAGGTTTCATCTATGAATGCTTTCATATAGACTCTTTTAGACTAAACAAAAAAGTTTTTCTTACTGTCCCTCATTAACTAGCAGCGTTTTCAATCATTGAAATGTTTATTTTTTTACTTTTACATTGGAAAAGTCTTAAAAATAGAATTCTAACCAAAACCTAGGTCTATTACAATTTTTTTGCTTTCTCTAATTAAAGTTTAATTACACATTGTCTTGTGAACTGTGTGAAGTGATGTTACACTTTTTAGAAACACTAACCAGACTGTAGTGGTGGTTGCTACATTTGAATGATTAATGTCTACTCCAGAAACTCTAGTGTTTGACATGAAATCACACTGAACCTATCCACCCAACTTTAAATGGAGAGCAGTATCATGCACAGCCTGATGTGTTCCTTGGCTGTGCCAGTCTGCAAAAGCATCGACAGCATGTAGAATGAATAATCTCCTTTATTTTTTAATTTGGGAGGGAAGGATGAGGAGCAAAACAACCAGAACAGCTGCATTCTTTTAGTGCAACTGGACTGCAGTTCCCATACTGAATAACAACAGAGTTGACTTCCCTCTGAGAAGATAAAAATGATAGACGGACAAGTCTCTAATCTTTTTTTGCTAGTTAACTTGTACTGTAAGTTTTCCCTACTTAGTTACTTGACCATATGGCCGTGTTGGCATGCATATCTTTTCCTTGTAACTCGATGAAGAAAGTGTACAGAAAATGCTGAGCTGTCTGATAAGCTTTTTTTGAATGCATAGCATTTCTGTGCAAAAGTAATTGAATCACAAATTTCCATTGAATTTCTGTACACCCAAGGAATACACAGCAGTAGCGTTTTCTGATAATGGATCTGTATGATCTAAAACATGTAAAACAAATCCTGATGATATGTTGCAAAGCAGATTCTCAGCTGTTTACTTTCACTTGTTAGCCTTCAGAAGCCTCTAGTGATGCAATTAACTTGCCTCAGACTGTACATATCCACCCACAACCTGAAGGAGCGGAAAATCAGAAGGAGTTGCCAGAATGGAGTGAGAAAGTTGCCCATGGAATCTTGTCAGGTACTGTTGTAATAAGAGGACTGTGTGAATATAAACCTCTGTGAGTAACATTTAAACAGTATTTTCAGCTAAATGCATGTGTGCTGGTAGAAGCTGAGTGGTCAGAAGTAGTTGTTCACCAGTTCCAGTTGTAATCACCTAAAAGATGCTTTGGTAGGCTCTATAAAAACAGTGCAGAATTTAAATCCATTGCCAATAGTCTTGCTCATTGCAAATGAGTTAGGCTCCTCATTTGACTATGTGTTACGATATCACCCCCCTGTGACTCAGACCACTGCGACAGAACAATTGTACTCCTGTATGAGGAGTTATAGTAAAGCAGGCATCTATTGTGATTTCTGCAGATAAACTTTTTTTTTCCTCTGAGAACCTTTGGAATATACTAATAACCACCAGCTAATTGTAATAAATATGAATCTGCTATGAGGGCTAGAGGGCTGGGTTGTACACTTTCAGAATGTTAATAGCATTGAGATGTGCAGTTCTATCACTTCTGACCCAGCTGGGGCTTGGATATCTATTAAAAAACTGAGTATCTGTATTAAGCTGACATTTGGATGAGAGCTGGCTGTATTAAACTAAATAAAGTGAATTGAAAAAACGTGGGTGGTGTAGGAGCAGAAATCACTGCAGGAATTCATGCTGGCCCATTCAGGGAAGAGTATAATTACAGACTGTGTAATCAGGAATGTTTCTAAAGTCAGTGTTGCGGAGGCAGAGGAGGGAAAGCTGTAGGAATCATAGTCTATAAAATTGTACATTCTAAGAAGCACAATTTTTGCTTTGAAGGTGCATCTTGGGTAAGCTGGGGCCTAATAAAAGGAGCAGAATATACTGGTAAAGCTATCCACAAAGGAGCTTCTAAACTGCGAGAACACATTCAACCAGAAGAAAAACCTCTGGAAGTCAACCCAACTGTGGCAAAGGGGCTTCATGTAGCAAAACAGGCTACTGGAGGAGCTGTGAAAGTCAGCCAGTTCTTAGGTAAAAAATTTCCATCTTGTAGTATATTGTATTTTTTGCCTTAAATAATAAATATTCTGTAAAATGACAGCTGGTTTCTCTAGCCAATGAACTAGAGGAGGGACTGACCTGATGAAATCCAGCAGTTTGTGCCTAGTTATCTCCTGCAAGAGACATGCTTTAGGACTAATATTATATGACCTTGAGGCATCTTTTTCTTTCCTAAAAGAATAGTCTGTACAGTCTTAAGTTTGGCATGTTTTTCTAAGTTTTAGACAGTTAATTCAAAATGGTCTCTCTCTTTCTTCATAAGTTGGTAACCATGTATTTTAAAAGCTGTACTGTCACTGGTTACGAACATACATATTGTACCACTAGAGAATGTGTGTGTGCGTGGTTTTAAATACACACACCTGAAACAAGTCTATTAGACTATGTATAAACTTCCAGATAGAAATGGCTTGGTGTTCAGAGGTGCTTGGTAAACCTAGCAGCTCTCAGTAACTTCATTCTGTTATTTATTTGCATTAATGTTTATATTTAGTGTCTAGTGACTCAACCAAGTTTAAAAGCAAATTGTGCTGGATGTTATAAAAATACTTGGAAGAGCTGGAATGATTCTAAGAAAGACTTTTCCAGAAGACAGGTCAGGAAAGAAACACAGCTTGTCCCCTATCTGCAAGTTGGGGATAACAAAGCAATGAAAACAGTTTCTTGAAATTAGTGTGTGTGACACGTATTTCTTTTAAAGTGCTTTTTAGCCATAAGACCAACCTTACTTGTTTCTTAGGAATTGGAGCTGTGCAGAATCTGAAAAATAAGGTTGCTTCTCTATCAGTTGTGTTCTTAAGTGTGGATTAAAGTCTGTCTTTCAAATAAGTGTATTTAAATAGAAGCAACACTTAAGACTTCAGTGAAACTTACTTTTCATTAAGAGTAAGGTCTTCTAAAGAAAGATATTCTATGTTCTTACTAAATAATCTGCATACTGTGTTTTATGGCAGGGGGGGGGGGGGGTTTTTTTGCTGTGTTGGAAAGGAGCTGGCTCCACATGTGAAGAAGCATGGCAGCAAATTAGTTCCAGAATCCCTTAAGAAAGATAAAGATGGCAAATCCACTTTTGATGGTGCTCTGGTGGTAGCAGCAAGTGGAGTTCAAGGTAATAAAAATTCCTTATACTTTTTTAATTGCATACTTTTTAATGCTATGAACTCAAACAAGCTGTTCATTTTTACAGGGTTTTCAACAGTGTGGCAAGGTTTAGAAAGTGCAGCGAAGTGCATTGCTAAAAGTGTTTCAACTGAGACTGTAAAAACTGTCAAATACAAGTAAGTTATGTTTTTATTGGTTTCATCTTCAACGTATTGTCATTGTGTTTGAATACTGGCAAAAAAAGCTTATGGAAGTGCAGGGAAGCTAACTGAAATACCTGCTTTGCTCTAATTATGCAGCACATGATAAGCTGCTAAGTACACAATAATGAGCATCTCCTGTAAGTAAAAATATGAAATGAGTTAATGATTGTGGTAAGTATTTTTTTATCTCTCTTCTAGAATTATTACAGCTTCAGGCTATGATACAAATACTCTTCAGATTTATATCTTTGCTCTACAGTATAATGTCATTATGAAAAAAGTTAGTTTTAAACATTGCAGCTCTGATCCTGAATTTATGTAAACTTAGCTAAATTTGAAGAAAAATGGAAGAACTTCAACTATCAGCAGGTCTGACTAAAGTGAGGAGGTACAAAAAGGAGTATTGTGTAAGGAAATCTAAGGCATAAAGAGCAATAATAGGATAGCCTTGACTTGCAAAATACAGGTGTTCTTAGAAAAAGATAATGGGGGAAGAGGATAGTAACGTTTGGGATTAAGATGATGTTACTAAGATGGTGGAAAGAACAAAGTTGAGTGCATGTGCTGGAAGATGCTGTGGAGAATAAGGGAATATATTGAAATAACTGCAAAACGTATGAAATGCACCCCTCAAAAAAAAAAGTGCAATAGGTATAATAGAAAGTGAAGAGTAAGCAGAAGCACATAGGTTAAATGGAATTGGTGATAAGTGTAGCAAAACAGATGTTAAAAAGGATTGCTGAAAGTGCATACAGGCTACTAGCAGAAGGTAACAAGGTAAATATCAGCATACAGTATTAAGTGGATTGGCATTCAGGGTTGTGTTGTGATGCATTTCAAATAGGAGGCTAGATAGTGAAGTTCTAGTCAGTGGTGCTTTATTGCTGATGTTTGTTTTCAGTAGGAATGTCAGCAGGTATTCTACTGGTACTCTTTTCACATAAATTCACATTAATGTTTTTGGTTTAGATATAGGAAATATGGAGATCAGCAGTCAACAGCCACTAAGAGTGAAAAACAATAAGTAATTAAATGTTGCAGTTAATTACAATACAATTGAAAATATTTGATATTTGATCTTTAGAATCTATCTACATAAATGTATTAAAATTCTACATAATACCTCTTTTGGAAGCTGTTTTCTCCTTCAGTGACAAAGATTTCTGCCACTCAGAATACTTCAGTGAATGAGCTAAATTCCACTTAATGGAAACAAAGCTAAAGGAGCATCATCCCAGTGTCTCTAAATCAACAAAAAACTCAGCTAAAACTTAGCTGCTGTACCTTTGTGGATGGAATTATAGAGAAATGCTCATCATATGTGTATGTTGATCAGAATTGGGGGAAAAAATAGCTTCAGAAGTGATATTTCTGCCAAAGTAACATGCTACTATACTACCTTAGTGTTTTTTTACAATGATATAAATAACTGCAGTATCTACATCTGCCCAACTTTTTTCTTTTTTTTTAAAAAAAAGGAAGTTACAAATGATGCAGTTGAGACAGGCAAACTGAAAAATCAATTATCAAATATTTAAAAATTGTTAGTCTAACTGTATTGGATAAGATACCATCTCACTTTAAATGAAGTTACCTTTTTTAGTGATGTTACATAAAACTGGCTTATGATGTTCCTGAGGTGAAAATAACTTAAGCAAATTGACAAATACAGCACTTTTGATGTGAGATTAATTCTGTGATCTGCAAATCATGTGTTGGTGAGTCAAGGCTGTTACTCTATCAGAGAATTAAAAACAAAACAAAAAAGCACTAATTCTTTTTATTCAGTTTCACTGTTGGTTCCAGCCATTATGCCATGGCTGCTGCACTGATAATGCAATAGATTTTTGGATTCTTTGATATTCTGTGCTTCTCTCTAGCCTTATTTTGAGGTCCTCAAAGAAACTCTGGTCATAAGAAGCACAGGGAAAAAGTAACTGGTAGCTGCTGGGATTCTGATGCTACCAGAAATACTTCCCTTTGGCCTGGTTTGTCTGATTACAGTGCTCTCTGGGGAAATGTCTGGCTGCCCACAACAGTTGGAGTTACTGCTCTCACTAAACTTTTGTCCTCCTTCAGTATGCTCTCTCTACTGGTGTAGATGTGTACCTTTCTTCACACTTGAGTAATTAATATGAGACTGCTGACTTGCCCCATAAAGCATAAACAAGCTGGACCCACAGCCCAGTGGAGAGACCAGAGGTTTTATCTCTTGGTTATTTTCATCGTATCCTCAAGATAGCTTTGTTGAGCCTTTTGGGGTTTTGCATGACTTCTCCTTCCTCCCCCCTTCCCCTTTGCCACTGTATTGATTCCAGGTTACTTCAGATAAGTCTTCACTGCACAATGACATTTTTTTGTAGGGACCTTGCTACCTCCAGCACATGAGCATAGCTGTGAGTGATATTTCTGCCAAAGTAACATGCTACTATACTACCTTAGTGTTTTTTTACAATGATATAAATAACTGCAGTATCTACATCTGCCCAACTTTTTTCTTTTTTTTTAAAAAAAAGGAAGTTACAAATGATGCAGTTGAGACAGGCAAACTGAAAAATCAATTATCAAATATTTAAAAATTGTTAGTCTAACTGTATTGGATAAGATACCATCTCACTTTAAATGAAGTTACCTTTTCTGCTGATGTTACATAAAACTGGCTTATGATGTTCCTGAGGTGAAAATAACTTAAGCAAATTGACAAATACAGCACTTTTGATGTGAGATTAATTCTGTGATCTGCAAATCATGTGTTGGTGAGTCAAGGCTGTTACTCTATCAGAGAATTAAAAACAAAACAAAAAAGCACTAATTCTTTTTATTCAGTTTCACTGTTGGTTCCAGCCATTATGCCATGGCTGCTGCACTGATAATGCAATAGATTTTTGGATTCTTTGATATTCTGTGCTTCTCTCTAGCCTTATTTTGAGGTCCTCAAAGAAACTCTGGTCATAAGAAGCACAGGGAAAAAGTAACTGGTAGCTGCTGGGATTCTGATGCTACCAGAAATACTTCCCTTTGGCCTGGTTTGTCTGATTACAGTGCTCTCTGGGGAAATGTCTGGCTGCCCACAACAGTTGGAGTTACTGCTCTCACTAAACTTTTGTCCTCCTTCAGTATGCTCTCTCTACTGGTGTAGATGTGTACCTTTCTTCACACTTGAGTAATTAATATGAGACTGCTGACTTGCCCCATAAAGCATAAACAAGCTGGACCCACAGCCCAGTGGAGAGACCAGAGGTTTTATCTCTTGGTTATTTTCATCGTATCCTCAAGATAGCTTTGTTGAGCCTTTTGGGGTTTTGCATGACTTCTCCTTCCTCCCCCCTTCCCCTTTGCCACTGTATTGATTCCAGGTTACTTCAGATAAGTCTTCACTGCACAATGACATTTTTTTGTAGGGACCTTGCTACCTCCAGCACATGAGCATAGCTGTGTCAGCAATTCTCTGTACCCAAGAGAGCTGTTAGACTGTCTGGGTTAATTTGCTTGAGCGCAGTGGTGCACTACCTCAGTGACTACTTTTGGGGCTTGGAATTAACGTGCCAGTGTGTTGCTGGTACACCAGACATAGTATCATATTATGCCATGTAGACACACGCAAAGGTGATACAGAACAAGTACTAACCAAGCACTGTTCTGGCAGTGGCGGTACCAACCGACAAAAAATATGCCTGAGGTGATTCCAGTCCCTTTTTCTGTAACGGGTGAGAAGGCAAGACAGTATTTGCTCTTCTTCCTCCTCAGTGCTGCCACCCATGGTAAAGACTGAGAAGGCTGAGCAGCTGCAAGGGTCTAGCTGTGAGGACTTACATGGGGGAATAGGGGGTATTAGGAATTTTACCCAAGAACTTAGGTGAAAAAGTACTTAGGGGTTATTGCACACAACTCCCTCCTCTCTTCTTACGGTTCTATAGTTAAGCCTTCTAGTCTTCTCTTCAAAACTAGAGGGGAAGGAGGGAGAAAGACTGGAAGGTTTTTTGAGGAAAAACGGCAGAAGCATATTAGTATCTTTAAAGAGTAATCCATCTGATAGAGGAGCAGCCCTTACTCAAATGGCTTGGTAATTTCTAGTTTTATTCTTTAGACATTCAAGCTCTGTGCTTATTATTTGTTCTTGGTAATGCTTAAATTTTTGCTTTCAAAAGTATTCTAGTGAAGAGAAAAATACTAAGTATACATATCTACAAAATGGCTATCTTTCTTAAGGTATGGAGATGATGCTGGCCACGCTACAGACAACGCTATGAATTCTGCAATCAATGTTGGTGTGACAGCGTTTAACATTGACAATATTGGTATCAAAGCTGTTGTAAAGAGAACTGCAAAGGAAACGGGCCATGCTGTGTTAGATGAATATAAAGTATTGGATAATGAGAAGAAGGGTAAAAAATGAAAGTAATGAACTGTTTCTCAAAGCTTAACACTAGAGATGAAACTTCCTATTTAGAAGTAACTACATTGCTAATCTGTGATTTAACGCAAATCACACTGTACTTCTCAAGCAACTGTTACTTAATTTGACATGAAAATGTAAAAATAGGGAGGGCATTCGTAGAAGGAAAAATGAAAGTTGTCTTAACTCCTTGTTCTGTATTGAACAAGGGTTTTAAACAGCTGGATCAGGGCTTTAGACAACTGGAAGGGTATGAGTGTGCAGTTAATAAACTTGCCTCTGTAAGCACTTTTCCAAAATATAATATAGAATGATAGATTAATATAGAAATACTATTGTGACTATTTTTGTAATGCTTTATATTTGCAGAGAAGGTGGTGATACAGAACAAATAGGATTACTAATTCTGGAACAAATAGGACTACTAGTTTTGTTTTATAACTGTCCTTAAGCGTTAGTTTTACTAAAACAGCCTTGTCTTATTTAATATGCACTAAAATAAGCTTTGTGTTTCATTGTTTTGTAGAGAATTTCCCTTTCCAGCTACCGAACAGCTAATCTTATCCAAAGTTCATGTTAGAAGAAATGAAAGATGAACCTCAGGTAACTAGGTAGTCATTCCCTTTAAAACTATTTTTTTTTCCATCCAGCATATAAGCAAACCAAAGATATCAAGCATTTCTTCTAAAAGAGGTATTTACAAATCTAGAAAAATGTATTCTCCAGTGACTCCATAAGGAATAAACAAAGATTCTTTGAAATTGAGATTTTTATGTAGAGAGGATAAGTATGTTTTTGCATAAATTAAAGTATTTTTCTGTAAAAACATTCTATAGGGGACACTAGGAACTTCTGTGCATTCTGTACTTTTCAGCCAATCCAGAAAGATTCAGAGTATATATCATGGCCTCCTAAGGGAGACAATATGTATTTGCTTCAACAAGTAGTTCTAACAGTCAGCACCTTTATTCCATTAAATTCATAGTTGCACAAGGTACGTCTTTAAAGGGTATGAAGACAAGCCCTTTTTGATGAAGAGATGTGTGTGGAATAGAAGAGACACTACTGTGTAGGCTTTTCATCCTGTTTCTAGTGCAGTGTGAAATAACTCCATATGCAGACCCTTTGAGATGCTTTTACACTGCTACTTGTTTAACAATTCATTATTGAGTTTTAAAGCTGCTACGCTTTCTAATACTGGCTGGACCTGCAGCAAACAACACCATCCATTTACAACTTATCTCCATTTTATGCAAATGGAGAAAATAACTATAAATGGTTGTTAGCAAATGATATTTGCATCAGATTGAAAAAATAGTGACAACTAATAGGTGCACATTTTGTGGTAGCTACTGTAGGTGCATACTTAGGGTGAGAAACGTGAAACAAAGGATCTAACCACTTGAAGTGTAACTTTGATTTATGGAAATAAAGATGAAATTAAAATTGCTTTATCTGTGCTGGGCCTTTTATGATGTGAAGCTACTGTATGGATCAGTGAGTGGAAAGACTAGGACTTCTTCTGAAGTAATAAAAGAACAGTATTGTGGTATGCCTACGATAGAAACAAGCTCATCAATTAAAGTGTAAAATATTTCAAACTAAAAAGGTCCATCAAAAGCACACCACAACAGTTTCTGTTACTGCAGTCTGTCACTTGCCAGCAAGTGTAACCAGTTTAAGGCTACTAAAGACTACACACTAGCAAAAGCATTTTTGTTGTTATGAACTGCGTTTACAATAGGGATGTATGTATTTGTATCTTCCTTCTCCCTCCCATTTTGGTTTTGCATATAGCTCATGCCCTTTAGTTTAATCTATAAATCATCAGAACAACAAGTTGTATTAGAACAACAGTTAAGATCAAACTGTTACAGTCTTTGAGAGACCAAGTTGTAGCATACTGAGGAAAAAAAGATTTAAATGCCATTGGTATCAGGCAAGCGTTGTTGTCCCGTTCAACCCGCTGCTGTTCTCTTCACATGTACTCAGTCTTTCAAAGTAGATTGAAGCTATTTTTTTTTTAATAGGGCCTACCCCATTTTACAGTTTTTAATGTGATACATCCGTGATCTTTCCTTTTACATTGTTCCAAAGTTTAGTTAATTCTCACTGCTGAAAGTATTACGCTGTTGAACTTAACCTGCTTCAGCTGTCACTACCTGGGCCCTGGGCAGCAAATCCATGCGCTTCTCCCCAGTTCCTCTACCGTATACAACAGCCTTCGCACATGTACTGCCTTATCTCAGCTCTCCTTTTTATACGGTATACACACTAAGCTCCCTAAGCCTCATGTCTTAGGGTTGTTTTCTATTCCCAGCTTGGTTTTGTTTCTCCTTTGAACACCAAATGTCTTTTGATGTGTGGCAGTCCTAGAAGTAGTCTTGCTAATGCTGTTTACTGAATGAGCTGCTACCTGATTTCCTAATGCATTGCTATTTCCAAATTAATTTATTCAAAGTCTTTTCTGCTACGATATTGGTCTCAAATCTTGTCTTGAGAAGATTACTTTTAAAGACCTCTAAGTCATTCTAAGCTACTGCCATCTCTGGCATCTTCATCGTTCCATAGGTATAAACCACTGTTCTTACCTCATCTAAAACCCTGCATTTGAATGGATTCCTCTAAATTCCAAGGGTTGGTTGGTTTGTTTAATGCTGATTTAAAAACACTTTGGGGTAGCCTATTTCTTAGTATTCCCTGACAAACTAAATCTGTAGTCCTTTAAAAAGAATTGGTAAAACTACCTTCCACCAAAACATGCTGACCAGCTCAGTTATTCACATCACCATAGAATGGTGTAGGTCGGAAGGGACCTCCAGAAGTCCCAGACTACAGAGATCTGTAGTCCACCCTCCTTCTCAAAACCGGTCCAGTTGGAGCAGAGTACTCCATGCCAATTCTGCTCATTTTTTGATTATCTACAAGGATGGAGACTTTACAACCTCTCTGGGCAACTTTTGCCAAATTTGACTCTGGTAAAGGTAAATACTACTCCCTTATATTGGGCCAAAATTTTTCATAAGCACTCGGGTGCATTGCTGCTTATCCTTTCATAGTGCACACTGGACAAGAGTCTGGCTTCTCTGTCTTATCCAGACATTCCTCTTATGTAGCTGTTGACAGCACTAAGATCTCCTTATGTCTTCTCTTTCTCTAGCCCCTGAGCAGCTTGGCAGCCCTTAGGATTTGTTCGGGAGCCCAAAGCTAAGCACTGCAGCGTGTGGTCCCACAAGTGCTGAACAGAGGGGAAGAACCACCTCCCTCAACGTCCTGGCTACACTCTTGATAATGCAGCCCAGGAGGCTGTTGGCCTTATTTGCTGCAAGGTGCGTTGCTGGCTCATGGTCAGCTTGTTCACTAGGGACCCCCGTGTCTTTTCATATGAAGTTGCATTCTAGTTACCACCCCCAGCCTGTATTGATGCAAAGTCAGACTTTGCATTTGCTTTTTGTTGAATTTCATTAGGTTCCTTTCAGCAGCCTGTTTCTCCAGGCTGTATACCCTGCTCTGAATGGCAGCCCTGCCCTCCTGCATAGTGACTGCTCCCCTCAATTCATCATCATCGGCAAACTTGCTGAGAGTGTGCTCAGTCCTCCAGGTTGTTAATAAAGAATTAAGGGTATTGGCTCAGGTATTGATCTCAGAGTCAAGCAGTCATACTGCTGATCACCACACTTTAAGCCTGATGGCCCGGACAATTTTCCACCAACCTTATTTCCCAGTTATTCAATCTATAACTCACCAATTTGGCTATAAAGGTGCTATGGGAGACTATATGAAAGTCCTCGGTAAAGTCAAAGTATACAACATCCACCAGTTTCCCCTTGTCCACACAGCCAGTCATCATACCCTAGCTACCTGTAGCACCCTAGCTACTGGTGCTACAGAAATAACTACTTCTTTGTAAAATTTCATTTATGTCATAATCTAAATGTTTGTCTTCAGCAACTAGTCTACCTTGCTTTTAAGCAACTCTGTTTATTGCCTTCATGTAATCCAAAGATACGTATTTAGGTATAAAATTCTGTTTTCAAACCACATTGTGTTGTGACCAAGTTTCCTAACTTTTCTTACTAAAAATTTTAATCTCAAAAATAACATTAAAAGCCTTAAAACAATGAAGGTATCTTTATAGGTATCCATATATCTAATTTTAACGGATTTATTCAGAATAAAGAAATGGAGGAAAATTCTCATATGTTGCAAGTGTCATTATGTTACTGCCATGATTGTTAAAAATACTGATGGTTTGAAGTTTTACCCACTCACACAAGACCTCAGTCCACAAGATACTTCGGCTCTTCTCCCACTCCAGTTCCCAAACCATTTGGCGAAGCACACAGACCTGCTGTCCTGTGCCAACCCAACCAGTGTGGTCTGGGCGCGTCCTTACGTGCACTGTGACCTAGTTCCTGAGAGCTTACCTGGTTAGGACACCTAGTAATCCCCGAGTTGAGGATGGGAGCTGAAAGTATCCTGGAGAGGATGTCAAAGAAAAGTCTCCTGGGGCAGAGAGAGTACACTGTGGCCAGGGTACAGCTCTCAGTTACCCTGTGCCCTCTGTTCTCAGACTTCCTTGTGATTCCAGGGATCTTTCTGAGCTCTCTGAATGTGCCCTCCGGTTTGAGAACTATTCAGTAGGCTGGTTAAGTTAATCTTGAAACAGTTCTTCACAAAAACTGGTAACAAGAAAAATGGTTACTGGTTAACACCCTGGCTATCAAGATTCAGTACGCTGAGTTAGTTACGAATGCTAATCTAGGTCCAAGTCATTACTTAAATTATTGGTTTGGTATGGAATGTGTTTTCAATATGTCTCTTAAAAAGGTAGCATTCAATAAATCCTGAAGGCAAATGAGCAGCTAAATTTAAATGCAGTTACAGTGCAGCACTCTTCTAAATTTGTTTCTTGATTAAAGTATTTCAGACAATTTCGAATTCAATCCACATCTCAAGTGATGATTCACTGATTAGATGATAGCATCAGTTATAACTTGAGACTGTCAAAAATCACTTCCTGCCCTAATATATTTCAGACAAGTGAAATTAAAATTACTTTTTCTTCTTACAGTCATGCTTCTCGCTCTCCATCCTACTGTTCTACCCCCGGACACTAGATCCTGCTGGATTAGTGACCCTGCTGTTGCAGTATCAGTAAGGTGTTAAATCGGCCCATTCCAGTGTCACAAACTACCACCTTAGGACTAAAATGCACAAAATTTCAGGGCCGACTTTTAGATGGCAATGCTGATACATGCTGTGTTAAAGTAATGGTAATACATAACCCTCATTTTAAACTTTGCAAGCAGTGCCTCTGTTACCCAACAAGCTGTAGGGCTATTGCATTTGGCTTGCTGCTCGCGCAACAGAATTAATTTTGAGTAACTAAGAAACTATACCCTTTGGTTTTTCATAGTACACCAGTAAAGCAAAATTACAGCCCATCTCCTTCCTGAGAAAGTGAACAGATAGTTTCTCTAGTGAGTACTAGGTCCCATGAAATTGTGAGTTGATCTAAGAGCATGCTAATCACTCCTAGTTTCACCCTGTCCCTTACATCAACTCTGGCGCTTTTCTGAGGAGCTGGTGAGCCATTTCAGCTCAATAACCAGCAGAAACTGCAAGCATTTTCCCTGATGTAAGTCTTCTAGGTTTCATGAGCTGTACTGGCTTGTTAGAGAGTTACACGAATGTCAGAGCTGGCACTGAAGCAACCAGAGAAGGCGACAGGGAGAGCCTGAGAGAGGTGGTGCAGCATTAAGCTGTTAGATTCATTCAGTCCACCCCATAAAGCTTTACCTTGAGAAAGCCATGAACTGCTCTGAAATTCCTTGTTTGAAAAATGCAACATCAAACATATTTAAGCATGAATCCGGACCATTGTAAGATAATTAAAATATTAGCCAGTATATGTTGACTAATTAACTCCATTGACTTGATCAGTGATGATTAAGACCAGTTATTCTAAGCTTTTCTGTCCTGTCTCAAGTTAGGTACCTGCAAACTAGTTTATGTACAGCACAGATCACAATTATCAAGGGTGCTAGGTGCTCTTTTAAGACCAGGCCCTGCTGTGCTCTGCCTGCCTTCACATGTGGGTCAAAGCGTTTATTTAAAACTGTGCTACTTTCCATCCAAAAGAAATGTTCAAAAAAAATCTGCACATACTTGTGTTTCCCAGGTCATGAAAAGCTTAGCACACCAACAGTTCATCCTACATGGTCAAAACTCTTTAACTGGGCCAAAACTGTATCATATTTTCCCCATACATTTCTGGTGCTGCCCAAACCACATGCTGGGGACTTCCCGGGACAGAGGGAAGAAAAAACTCATCAAACGAGGGGTCGTTACAGCAGCGACTGGCGGGAGCTGCTACAAATGTGTGCAGACTGAACGACACAGCACAGGTCTCGGCCGGAGGAGGTGAAGGCGACGCC